AGCCGCCCCGCAACGGCTGCCGGGGCTCGCCGTGCTGCTTCCCGACACCTCCCGAAATGGGCTAAGGGGCTGGAGCTGGGTGGCTGTCGTCCCCCTTACCTGAGCAACACTAAAGGGAAGGCTTCGTCCCGTAAAAACCAGATAAAAACATAACGCTTTCACCACAGCAAGTCTCATTGGGGACCACATTTCTTACAACTACTACTACGAGCGTTGAGCCCGCAGGACCTTCTGGCTGTCGAGGTGGTGCTACGCAGAAGATGAACATAGTCCAAAAAAAATAGTCGAAAAAGTACTCCTCAAAAATCTTCCTAAAATAATTGGACAATCAAGGAACAGAAAATGCACGTTTTAATAATACAGACATCATAATACCGAGGATACTGTCTCAGCTGAAAAAATACATTTGTCAAATGTGCTTTACTATCCAAAAGTAGGCACTTAAGAAGGTTGACTAATTAAATTGACTTTTTAAATAAAATACTTAGTATGAGGCAGAACATTTCATTTGGAGTAAACAATATGTAACTTAATTTTACAAATTAGGAAACATTTTTGACCTTCACAAGTTCCTCTTGTTACTAACATATCAAGTGATTACAGTGCTACATACTGAGCTGCTGCTCAGGTTGAACTTATCTATGAATGTTGCTAAATCTACCATTTATAATTTATTTTAAAGGCAACCCTATTTTCAAAATCAAAATCAAACATGAAAAGAAAAAGCTAAGAAGGAACTTTTGCAGCCTGAAGGTTTAAGGCTGTGATTGTTGTCCGGTGATAAAAAAGGGAATGGGAATAATTAACAAAATGGTTATAGCTATTAGTTTGAAAGGTAAGTACACAGAATCAGTGGGCACTGAATGCTGAACTGAAATAAAATGCGGCATGCTCGTCCTTACCAGAAGGTTAAGAAAGCTTTTGAAAGTCTCTATAAAAGTAAAAATGTTGGTAGAGTGGAGGTACTTGAGGGTGGGAGATGGGATCAACAGTTAGCTCGGGTACATCTGCTCCATACCTAAACAGTCTACTTGCCAGTGGCCACCAGGCTCTCCTTGGTCTCTTGCCGGTAAGCACTTCTTAGTCCTGCACTGAGACAGCAGTCGAGGTGCGGATGAGCTCTGGTCTGAGGAGCCTGAGCCACCTTCCCCCGCAAGACTCACTGTAGTGTAATGGGACCTTCCCCCGCGGCAGGCGGGGTAGTGGAAGTGGATTTGCAGCTGCGGCAAGGAGGAGAAAAGACGTTGGGAAAAGAAGGCAGCGAGAGCTGCGCTCTCTCCTGCTCCCTATCGCAGGAGCGTGAGGCTGGGGCTGGCGGTGAAGGAGGATTTGGTCCTCCTGCGACCCGAGCCTCCTCAGAAGGGCAACGGGAGGGCAGGGGGCGGGGAAAAATTGGAGTCCCTTTAGTTCAGCCAGTAGATCCGCAATAGTAATTCTTAATGATCACTTTAGTTTGTGCACTAATTTGAGCCAGTAAAGTGCGCTGTGTTCATCTTCTACATAACACCACCACGATAGCCAGAAGGTCTAGCCAGAAGGTCCTGCAGGCTCAACATCAGCTCACAGCTAGCACCGTGGCTTGCTTTGTGTGACGAATTCATCACCTCTCAAAACAGGAGTCCATTCCCTCTCCTTTGAGAAGCCCTTACTCTTTTCCAAATATGAGTTTTCATTAGTTACAGATTTTTCTGCTTCAGTATTCCCGCAGTCCTCACAGTGCGCTCTTTTTCCATACAAAAACCTCTGATAGCCAAGGCAGACTATTTCTGAGAGACCAACCTGATCTCTTTTCTTTCAAAATATTAAATCGCGTAATTGTTCTCTGATTCTTTCATTCTCTCTGCTGTCTTATTTGGAGCATCTACTGCGGAAAGATACTGAAACATTACGTACACTTCACTGAACCAAGTCCTCCTCCTCCTTCGCCACACGTCTTTTCTAAGAAATTGTAAGAGAGAACCTATCTGCTACGGGAATTTCTCTTCTGGAGTTTTATTTCACTTTCAAGTCATACAGCTTGCCTGACAGCTTTAAATCATATTGTGAAATCTCGGTTGTGTAGAAACTAGCAGTTTCTCAATATTGTTCCTAAGAATTTGGAGGTCTACTTTGGCTGTTCATATGCTGCTGTGGAAATGCTTAGGACTTTGCTTGCCTTCAGCCATGGTGGTAAATACTTTCCTTTGTACCGGAATTTCTTTTTAACTAGTTGCTGTCAGTCTACTTGCCACTGGAAAAGCCTCTTGCAGCATTGCTAGGTTTGAGTCCTTTCTTTGTCTTCATTGCGGTGCTTCAGTTTCATTCAGTTTGAAGGGGGGTGGAGGATTCCACTTCATACCCAGATACCTGCCTCAGATGGCTTCCCCGGTGTGATCTCCCGCTTTCCTGCGAGCCTCGTGAGTTTGTATGGATATGGGCATCACAGTCGTCCGTTATTTGAGTAGCTCTCTGAATGTTTTTTAGAAAATAACAGGACCCAAATAGCTGAAGTAACTTTTTTTTTCTTGTTGTGTTAGGGAGCTTCTTACTAAAAACTGCCTTTTGGTCAGACGCTTATTGGAAAATGAGGATTTTTCCAGACTAGAGACAACTTGTCAGTTCCACGGTCTGCACAAGCAACTTCCATCCGCTCCTTCAGTGAACACCAGCTCCGCAGAGAGCCCAGAGCTGCGTCGTGGGGGATCCCAAACAAGGCTACACACACTTTAACCTGCAGCAGAAAAGCCCTAGCGACCGTATTGTCTCTTGAGTTTGTGTCCTCAGACCACTGAGAGGAAGGGCGAGCTAGACAGAACAAGATACGCTAAACAGGCTTATGCTTTAGGCACGGCTTTTCCAAATCCGTAGTTTTCTGTTAGTGGTTCAACACACTGGTGAACAGCGTGAGAGGGAGAATTCTGAAAATCGCTCTGGGCGGGAGGTGGACAAGTTGCCTGCCTGCCTCTCGCTGAGGGAGGCTGCACTTCTTGCCATGAATTCCTGCCCTCAGTAATTGAGTTACCATTTGTTGTTTGAAGGACGAGCAAGTAGGAGGCTGGGAACACAGTACAAAGAATACTGCCTGGCGTACGCAGAATAAACCCTAAGGCTTGCAGGAAACACCAGGTATACCTACGGTGACCGTGTGTGCAGTGTGTGCACCGTAAGCCCAGCGGTTCTCCGTATAGTTAGGCAGTGCACGTGTATGTGTTGTGAATGTGCACCGCGTAAGCAGAAGTTAAAACATTTTGTGAAAAGTGTTGAGCCTGTCATGTTTTCTGTCCACCTCCAGTTGTGCAGAAGCCGTGAGTGTGTTTCTCCGGGACCTAGGGCATTGCTTCGTGAAGCATCCAGCACTACGGTACAGCAGCACCAGGCCTTTTGTCATGAGCAGACTACCTTACATCCACAAATCTCACAAAAATACAAAAGCACCTCCAGGCCTTCCCAGACAAGATTTCCAAGCACCCACACAAAAAAGAGAACGTGTAAGGGAATAAAAGAGCAAATAAAAGGTCGCTGTAATGGGGCCTCTCTCATCTTTGTGCTACGATGCCCAAATCATACCAAACATCAGCATAAAACTTGGAGGAAGCAAAATGTTCAGCCTTCAAAACTGAAGGAGAAAATCGAGGAAGGCTTTTGTTCTCTCAACATGGATATGGAGATATATCTGAAGATCATCTCCCCCAGAGGGCAGTGCAACTTAAAGAATGGAAATGTCTCCCTGGTAGCGTTTAAATGGAAATCGGCAATTTGAAGATGTGGTTTTTATC